GTGTATTATGAGTTGCTCAAACCGAACGAGACCATTACTGGGATTCTCTACCGAACACAATTGATGAGATTGAGCCAAGCACTCAAGGAAAAACGCGCCCACTACTGCTCCAGCATGACAAAATTATTCTCCTGCATGATAATGCTCGACCATATGTTGCAGCGCCGGTCAAAACCTACTTAGAAACACTCAAATAGGAAGTTCTACCTCACCGTATTCTCTAGACATTGCTCCTTCCGACTACCACTTGTTCCGATCGACGCATAGCCTCTCTGAGCAGCACATCATATGAAGATACCAAAAATTGTATCGATGATTGGATAGCCTCAAAAGATGAAGCGTTCTTCTGACACGATATTCACGTGCTACCAGAAAGATAGGAAAAAGTAGTGGCTAGCGATAGCCATTACTTTGAATAAAACATTATGTATGTTCTTTCACAATAAATGCTTAATCTTTGATCAAAAACGGCGGAAACTTATTTGTACTCCCAAATAACTACAGTTTTAAAATTTGCATATAAATACAGTTTACAAAAAGAGTAAAAAAGGCTTTGAATATACTCTAGTGAAAAGAAGAACACATAATGCTATGTAAATAACACTTTATTAGAGTAGAAATCAAATTTCCAAAATTGATCTGGTGCATCAGTGCAGCGAGCTGCTCGTACATCTTCATCACTGTGCAATTTAGAACCATCGAGACAGAGACCAGTTTCTACATGTATTATTCTGCCATCCTATGATTAAAAATCGTGATCGATAATATAATACATTTTTTAATCATTTATGAATTATATAAAAATGTCTATTAATATTAAAAATTAATATGACACCTTTGTTAATATCCATTCCTTTCCGCCTTTCTCATTGCTGCAGTCAGACATTTCAATTTGTGCATACGGTCTTGAATCAGTATTCAATATTCTTCCGCAGATTTCTTCTCTCCGTAATTCACCAGACTTGCTCAATGAGAAAAACTAAAAATTGCCCAAATACAACTAATTTCTTTAAATTTAAATTTGAATAGAATTATGTTAATGTGATACTGGTATTTATATACCTGACTTGGATATAGCTTAGTATGACAATTATATAAACCTAAATTATACGGTTTATCATCATCATGTTGCAGATTGTCTAAACACAATCGTCTATTACGCAATCTGACACGACCATAAGCTCTTGTATTTTCATCAGGGATAAATTTTTCTGGGTAAATATTGTTAAGATACCACTTAAAACTTTTACACTTGAGCTTTTTCCGTAATTTCAAACGTTCGCTTATATCACCAATAAGTTCTGGATTATCCTATGGATTTATTATCTGTATAACTACAAAACAATTTTAATCACATATCTGATCTTACCTTGAATTCACTACGATGAAGTAAAAATAATCTTTTATATTCATCCATCCATACAAATGCTAAACGGGCAGTATTTATTCCGTGAGTATCTTTATCGTTTGGAAATTTATATGGATGAAAATTTCGAAATATATGGCCAACTCGAGAGCAAGGAATTATTTCTAATGTGCCACCGCATTGCCAAATCTATTGAAGAATATCAATTTCTATTTAGGAACATAAAATATAAAATTTTTGATATATATGCTTATAATTACAATTATACTACAAGCTTATTAATAAACATACTTAAAAAAAATTTCACTCACTCGGAAAGATATTTCTAAGTTTTCGCCTCCCCAACCATCCATCTTATCATCGTAACTACCGATTTCCCAAAAGTATTTTCTATTAATAGCAAATAGACCGCCTGCCATAGTAGGAGACCTAGTTGGTGATATAGGAGAGAAACGCGATTCAACTTCATGTTTCTGAATAGTTATCCACGTGAAATGTCCCGACCATGTAAAACCACCAACTTGAAAAAAAAATGCTTCATTATCGTGGAAGTATTCTAATGTCTCCTCAGAAATGTTATCAATTATTGGCATTAATACAGCATTTTTATTATCCTTTATTCGTTGCAGCAAAGGCTGTAACCTGCATTATGTTAAATAGTATAAATATGTATTAATAAAATTTTCTCTTATTTTAATAATTTTAGGATTAAAAAAGATACAGGAAAAAATAATGTCTTCTAGTTTTAGTTAGAAATTGATATCAGAAAATTACCAATCTTTAATAACTTCACAATGTGCGTCCAGGAAAATAAGAACATCGCCTACAGCATTTTTAGCTCCATGAAGACGAGCCCGTATCAATCCTTGTCTATATGGTAATCTCAGTAGTTTTACTTTGGCAGGTAAACGTGTCGAAAGATAATAATCCAATTGTCCCTGAAGCTCTTCTAAAAACACACAAAAAAATATATTTTATATATAACATTAATTATGTAACCTATTCTAATAATATTAAATGATTACATCATTTTATTATGTAATAATTTATCTCTTATGTAAAGATTATTTTATAGAAAAAGTATTTCGCGGGCATATTACTATTAGACTTAAAATGATATCTGATATACAATTTATCTGGCAAATATATATATAGTTTTGAAAAAATTACTAATATGTTAATTTATATATTAACCATATTAATATTAATTTCAATACCTTCTTCACTATGATCGTCCACTAAAATAATTTCTTTTAATAAATTAGCTGGAGAACCTTTCAAAACACTATGTACTGTGCGTAATAGAACACTCCAAGGTTCATTATAAAAAATAATTATTATACTAGCACTTGGTAATAATTTGTCATACGTAACATTCGCACAGCTGCAATATAAAATTCACTTAAAAATACAAAGTTTAGAAAATATTCTATATATATATACATTTACGTATAATTTATATATTTATATATAATAAAAATGATTTTTTTAAAAATGCGCTATACATATTAAAATCTTACAGCGGGTTGCGTACATCTGGTAATTTTCTGGTTAATGATATCTTATTTGAGAGAATGACATTCAATGCTTTTTTTGCAAGTGCTGTTTCACCTAGAATCTTCTCTCTTCCGTATAAATAAGCAGGTTCTCCATTGTTCCCAAGACCAAGTACAATATTATGTTCAAATTTTGATATTTGTTGCTCATACCTTATAAAATATCATTTTGATCTAATATCACATTAGACAAAATATTGTTATTTTAACAATTATTTTATTAGTATTATATCAGTCTAGTATGTTTTGATTCAATAAAAAAGAAAGAAAGATAATTATATAAGATTTGTGAATAAATAAATTATTAGAGAAAGTAGCATCAAATAAATTTACCTCTCTTTCTGTAACCTCTGTAACGCAACGTCCACATCTTTCTGTGTCTGTGAGTTATTGCTATTTCTTAGATATCCAGATTGTTCTTTAGAAATCCTGGAGTTGTCATTGGTACGAAAGAATTGTTTAGCAATGATTAAAATGCCGATTATGTACAACGTGCAAAATGATAATTTCAACAAAAACTTGCGGCGAGTAAGCATCATTTTCTTCAAGAGTATACCATCCTGACAATTATCAGATAATTGACATGCTGTGAATGTTGATAAGGATGTTGCCGTTAGGTTATAGTAGAGCAACACTTGTCAGACGTGCGAGGTATACCCGTTGTATATTTCATTCATATCACGTGAACATCTGCAACAGATGAATTAAAATTCAGAATTAAAACATTACTACGATCCACTTCGTATGCACATTTAAAAACTATCGTATTAATGCAGTAATAACATTACATATGATATTAATGCAATGTACTAGATACGCTTGCTTGTTACAAACATAAGAAAAAGAACGAGAGAGGAAAAGGTTAAATTTAAATATGTATCAGTATCCGTAATGGAACTGCTCTAACCGGTTATACATTTAATATACATGCATCTATCTATCGCTCTCTTCCTCTCCTTCTTTTGTAAGGTCGCAAAATAAACATATGGAGTGGGTGATATTAATTACCAGATAATTTAATTAGCTAAATCTGTTGAAAACAGATTTTGCAAAGTGAGTGCTGCAAATTTTATCAGTACAGCAAGCAAAGTATAACAAAATCTGCTGAAAAAAAAATATAATAGCATTGTGGAAATCGAGCAGTTTATGCCATTTTATATGTTTAAATAATGTAGCCTAATAAATAAAATGATAGTTATAAAACAAGTTTCTATTGACAATCTTTTGTATGTATCAAAATATTATAACTATGGCTTAATTATAAATTGGTATTAATTTGCCTCAATATTTTTCTACTCCGTTGATGTCATATCCGTTGACAAACTACAAGCATGCCTTACTAAAAATCTAAATAAAATTTTATTGCTCTTTTACATGTTGCAAAGATTTTATAATTTTGTAATTAAAAATATGTACATAAAATTAATATTTTTTATATTTTATTGCAAGAGTTTCGTAAAAAAAAAATCCGATAGATTATCCACGTGTATATACGAATAATTAAGTTGAATCTGTTTACATATTTAATAACAATAAATGCATTAAAGCAAAAATACTATAACTGTATCAAATATTCCAATCACTGGATGTCTTTTCAATGAGTAGACTATTTGGTTGATCTAAAAAATCGAGTTTTCCTCAGTACAAAAATATTAAAGAAAAGATCATTATCTACTGTAATTCTTTCCAATCTTTTATATTACTTTAGTAATATAAAACTTGAATTAAACTTGAAATTCAAATTAAAAATAAATTTTACTTGAAATCAGTTAAAGAATGCACATTTCTTATCCAATTAGTTCTCTCAAATTTAATTTGTAAAAGATCTTTTTAATTATTTATAATTCGAAAATCATTGACGATTTTAATATTTTTGACAAGGAAAAATCGTTTAGGAACTAGTTCAGTCGAGAAATCTATTATTAAAATAATATCTATGATGATTATGTAAAGATATCTTTATAAATTACTTCTACATAAGGAAAATTATAATGACAATATTCTAAATACAAAAGTATTCTATTAATTACGTTTTTTCCAATTTATTACAAAGAATAATATTGAGAATGTCTCCTGTACATAATATTAACAGTCCCGTCTCCCCTAAGAGAAATTTTACAAATATATATCATGCAAAACGCACACAAATAAAACGAAAGTAAAAGCGACTCTGACTAAATCAAGGATTTTCGGAATTAATAGATCTCCTTGAATGCATTCTTTTCTTTCTTGTGGAAGAGAAAAATTTTTCAATATCGGAAAATGATTTGCCCAAAGTTTCAGGCAGAAAAAAGTATATAAAAGCTGCGCCTGTTAAAGACACGAAGCTAAAAAAGAAAAAAATGCCCTCGATGGTCATGCTTTTCAAAATGTACGGATAACTCTTTATAACAGCAAACATGATTATATAAGCAAAAGAAACCATGATACCTCCACCAATACCACGTATGGACACAGGTAACAATTCTCCGATCAATGTCCATGGTATAATTATAAATCCAAATGAACCAGTGCAAATATAAGCTAATATGAAGAATAATAACAGCCACTTTTGATTCACCATGGTTTCTTCTGTATTACCATTTTCATCGTACGACACTGCAAAATGCATATACATTCCAGAAAGAAACATAGAAATAGCCATTCCAATCCCACTCAAGATGCAAAGGACTCTTCTACCATATTTTCTACTACAAAAAACTGTTACTATACTTATAACAAATCTAATGATACCCAACATAACAAGTGCACCGTGTTCGTTAAAATTGCCAAATGTTCCACCCATTTCACGAAAAACAGAAATAGCATAAAATATGATTACATAAGAACCAGATAGTTGTTGCAACAAAAATAGTGAGAAAAGTATCAGCATAGGTTTATAGGTTTCCGGGGATACAAACGTATGGTAATAATTTTTTACAGATACTATAATATTTTTTGACGCTTTATCATTCACTACACAGTTTCCACAAGTCTCCATGATTCGCGAATATTCTTCCTCATAAATCTAGAAAACATTTATCTGTTGACATTCTGAAATATATTCCGAATAAATATTGCAAAATTATATCGTACTCACTGTTTGCCTTTTGTTAAGTTGCTTCAAACTGTGTTTCATTTTGCAAATTCGTTTTTCATCAAGCATACCATTTTGAAAACATACGAGCCAGTAGGGACTTTCAGGTACAAAGTAAAGTGTAAAGAAAATAAAACACTCTAATACAAAGAAAATTATGTTCATCTTGCGCCAATCTAGCATTACAGCTAAACAACAGGGAATTAAAATTCCAAACGACACAAATACAGAAGTAAGGCAGAGAAGCATTGGTCTGATTTGTGGATGTGTAATTTCTGATATATAAACTAGACCAACAGTTGTTAAGCCTGCTGAGATTCCAGCTACAACTCGAGCCGCATAAATAGTAATTAAGGATTTGGCAAATATCAATGAAACCCATGATATTGCTGCAGGAATACAAGATAATAAACAAACTATTTTGCGTCCAAATTTATCCATTAAAGGCCCAACAATGAGAGATCCTATTGGCAATGTTATTGTAACTAGACTCGCTGTAGAACAAAATAAATGTAAAATAACACATAATATTACTATCATAATATTATTATCATTCTAATTTTCTATCTAATATCAAAACACTACGAATAACAATTCTAGTCCCTTTTCTACTAAACAATCTATGGTGTACTCTCTAAGCACAAATATAAAATTTTATCATTACACGTACTTATCCAAGATGCTTCACTTTCAGTTATTTTCATATCAACATTATCTGATTCTAAACCATCTAATAAAATAGTACTGTAAGCCATGTTTATACCACTCTTTATAGTCATACAATGAATTATACAGCTTGCAATAATCTAAAAGATAATTATTTATTTTAGTTAATCATCTTATATCATAATTACTTATAGTATTTATAAATTATCTGTAAGTATATTTATAAAATTGCTGTATCTGTATATATGCATGTGTATATGTGTATATATATATATATAAAGATATTGAAAACTTGCCTGTGGTGTTACATCTGCCATTGTAATTTTCTCTTCCGAGTTTCTATTGGTAATTCGTGGAAGAAAATTACTGCAAAAAATTGAAATTTCCTATTATTCTTAAAACAAAATAAAAGGGACAAATAAAATTAAATACATTCAAACTTAAACATATAAATCATTTTTATAAATAATTTTTGAATTGTATCTATAATAAGAAATATTAATATATACTTATATTGCAAAATTTTATTTTACCTGACTTCATTGTGAAGTTTGTTATGTTCTGTAATTGTGTGTGTCCTTTCTTCAACAATTTTTTCTATTTTGTTCATTTCAATAATAATAATATAAAAATTGACTAAAATATTTCTGAAATGTAAAAATACGTAATAAAATGATAAAACATGGTACATATTCACTAGTAGATTTAAAATAAAATTTTAAAAGCAGTAAAAATACAAATGACATTGTTAAATATTCAGAAAATAATTATTATAATATTAGGATATATTGAAATTGTGATTAAAATGCATCCAATTAAATTAATAAATTGGTACATCTCAGATTATTTTTAGTTTCTCTGAATGATTATATACATCAATACAATAAAATTTTCAAACTAACAGAATATGTAGTTAACAGAATATATAATTATGAACATATTTGCATGCACTATACGATAGTATATATATCATACTAACGAAGATAAACATAAAATAATAATTAATTTCAATTGATTTTGATATTATTACGATACAAAAAAACTTACGTCTATTTATGATAATATTTATCATCAAAAATGAAAAAATATAAAAAAATCTTTACAAATGTAACATGTTTATCGGTACTATTGTATGTCGATTCTGGCTAATTTCATACACAAGCAATTTCCTTCGTTCTAAATTGCCTTTGAACAACTCTCTATGATAAGAGAATTTTTCTTTACTTACTATTTAAGTTGTCATGTGATCATATTAGAATGACAAAACCAAATAAGTCTATAATCTACTTCCAAATAAACTATTCGTGCTGGCAAAAAATCTGAAAGATCAATTCTTTTTGTAGAAACTAACCCCCGCACACTAACGCCAACTGAAAAAAGTGTATGTGAACGTAAACTACATAGCAAGATTCATTTATCAGCTGATACAACATACTTTAATTGGTGCACGCAAATGTATCGATAATAACAGAAAAAATCATAAAATATATATAAATAATATATATATGCATTCTTGTTTACATCTTATAATAATAAATAATAAATACCAGGATATTAGCAATTAAAAAATTTATATCAATAGTAGATAATATCAATTATCGAATATCAACGTAGCTACGCATGCGAAATGGTCTCTTTAATTCTACCATGGCATGCGTTCTATTTAACGCTCATACGCTCGTGGAATCATTTTATCTTTGTCGTTTATCGAATGTTGAACAAGGATAAATGATATACTTGCGAGCGTATGTGGAACTCAGCCTATTTTATATATATATTCTACATGTATGACATATCAGCGGATTATCAGTGAACATATCTGTCAAAAGAAGGAGGATTATTTAGTAGCATAAGGGAAACTGTATATTCTATCACTTTTGTTTTAATTATTAGTATGTATAAATGTAACATGTGATCTCGAGTTATATATAAAATTCGTATGAAAATGCGAATCACATAAAATGTAAACGGTCTCATACGAGTACCAATAAAAATATTATTATCCTTGTTAGCTCTACAAATATAACATAATGTGTAACAAAACAGGGAAACAAGCGAATTATTTTTGCATTTATTTATATTTTACAAAATTATAGCAGACGAGAAATCTCAGTATTGTTTAAGTAAGAAAGATCCTACTGATCAATATGAATTAAGTGATGGCACCTGCAAAAGATAAATGGATTAGACGTTTTATAATTACTGAAACAAAGCGGCACAAGAAAGGCT